AAATAAAGCACGGAATCTCTTGAAATATTGAAAAAGTTTTACCCAAACCGAGATCAAGTGCGGAGGTGACTGGAAGGAGGTGGCAAAGTAAACCGAATGCGAATCCATTTGGCGGTGCACTTCGAGCAAGTTGAGTCCGAATCGGACAGTGCTAAGTTCTCCCACCCAGCTAAGCGAAATGCGCCGGAGTAAAATGAATCCGGGGAGGGCTTAAGATGGGCGTGGCAATGGGGTGGCCACATCCACATCTCCATTGCGGTAAGCCCTGCCAAGCACTCGCATATTTGCTGAACACTCAAAACGCGCTCTTACGGCGACAGAAGCCACCTCTCAAGGACGCCGGAATAAATATATGCAAAAGGAAGTCAATCGGCGGAAAACTGTAGTTGCCGCACAACCCAGGCCCAATGCCGTATATGTACATTTGTACTGGAGAGCTCTTATTACACGTGCAAGCAGAAATCAACGAAATTCAAACACTTTGACAGTGCCTAAGTGCTTTCACTGAGGCCACGGCAAATATGGTACCAGGATACAGGGAAGATACACTAAGGTCCTTCATAATTGACAATGAGGGAGTTAGCGGAGAGAAGGCAAGAATGGCTTGATTCGATCTCTGGCAACTAAAAGTGGACTGCAATTGCTAAGGCAACTGCTATTGGAAGAATGTATGTATATCTTAAGGTATTTAACATTGAGGTGTTCTTAAATCTTTTAAGTTCATTTTAAAAATTACACACATTTTAAACAAGGTTGCACAACTTAATAACGAAAGATATATCATGACCCCAATTTCTTAGAAATTGCTTTCACTTAAGCAACTAAATTTATAAAATGATACATATAATGGCTGTAGTTAATATTTCGAAGTTTAATATTTGTGGCTAAGCCAGTAAAAACTAATTGAAAGCGTATTGGTAAACATTTTGAAGAGTAAGTTTTAAAATTTGTTTAAAAACTAATTAGCAGTCATAACTTAAATTATAAATAATCAGTTGCTCAGCACTAAACTAAAACCCTAAAAGTTATACCTTGCATAAGACATTCCTTCTATCTCCCACGCTTTAACTATTTTAACATTAAAAGCAATCTTTAATAGATTCGTTTGCAACATCTTAAAGTGCAAGAGCGTCGCCTTGCAATTCCTGTCAAGTAATCCCTGTTAACCAGTGTAACAAAGGAGAAATCCAAGCCAAAAGGAGTTGGCACTATCTGCTTTCCTTGCCCCCAGCATGTGTGCGAGTGTGAGTGGGTCTAGTGTGTGTGTGAAGGAACTTCCGCTGTGCTGTTCGTTACACTGGTGTTGGTGATGATGGCGTTGCCATCGCTTCCGGTGCGCTGGCTTAGATAATGCCCCAGCTAAGCAGTGGGCACAGCACGTGACGGGAAATCAAGGATGGGAATGGGGAGGGGAATGACAATGGGTAGGGGTAGGGGGATGAGGATGAGGATGGGACCCAGATGCCCGAGACTCCGGGCTCAGATTCCTTGATATCCCTCATCGCAGCTCCACGGGCGATGGCGTTTATTAAGCGCATATAATCGTAAAAAAATTAGCTTGTATGAAATACGCACTGAGGCAGCGAAAGAAACTTGCGCTCAGCATGCGGGGTAAATCGTGCCGGAGGACGAGGGACTGGAGCGGTGTGCTTAAAATGCAAATGACATAAAGTGTAGTGTCTTTCCAGGGAGTCGAGTCATCGCTTTGCCAAGGATTCACTTAGGCGTTTTGATGAAACGCCCTGCTTTGCTTTATTCTCGTCATAATTTGAATTAATGTCGGAGCTTAGGACGCAAATTGCTTTGTTTAGCTAGTTTCGAATGGATTAGGTAACCGATGGCAGGACGGAGGCCAGAGCTTATAATTAGGAAAAGGGTGGCAATCCATTAAGGACTGCTTACGGAAGGTAGACTATTGTCCCCTGTATTTTTGTTCATTTGTAATAATTAAAAGCTTAAGGATGTCCTTAAAATATTTAGTTCTAAGGCTTAATGCCATGTATTTTTCAGTTCATAAAGATAAAGCATTTTAAAGGACAATCATAAAAATAGTAGTCAGCATTGTAAAATCCCGAACCAAACACGTTGAGCTCGGCGAAAACATTGATTCGACATTATATCCAACATGAAGCTCACTTTTTCCGTTTTCTGAGAGCCAACATGAAGGTAAATGTTTCCTATTCTTGACACAGTTCGTGTACACACACCGAAATCAATATCCGCCTAGGGCTGCCATTCGCTGCCATCGAGTGTCACACATTTCATTTCCGCCTGTCTACAGGACACGCCCTCATATGCAGATTTGCACGTCCTTCCTGTCCCTCTATCTGCGGGTTCCATTCTTTATTCGCCAAATGTTGCAGGATGCTGCCCCAAATACATAGTTGGTTCAAAAGGGATATAGTTGCCACTTCCTTGGCACATTTCTTCGAGGTCCTTTGGGTCCCTGTCCCTTCTTAGCACACCCGTAATTTTATTATTCTTCGTAGGCAACTTTGGGGCGCATTGATGAAAATGAAAAGCTGAAGCTCAAAGCCCGCCATTAAAATGGCTAAGACTTGTAATTGATTGTCTTCTGTTAACGCTTAATTCAGTGCATACAGGGGGAGAGGTCCGCCGACTGCTGCGACGCAACTGTGGCAAGTAGCTCTGAAAACAATAAATAAACCAATAAAATTTAGTGGCACGTACCATAAAAAGCTCTGGGCACAAACAAAGGACGGCAGAGGAAGTGGGGCTTAAAACAATGGCAATGCTCGGAAGTCGAACTCGGACCCGGAACCCGGAAAAGTCGGGAAACTCGAGGCGAACAGGTTGCGTGAGCCTGTCGGCATAAACATCGCTGCTCAAGGCTCGAGTGGGCGGGCAGATAAAAGCATTACAATACACACAGCCGAAATACACACAATAACTGGGCTACAATTGTCTGGCTTTGGCTTTGATTCTGAGCCTTGGAGTGTTGCCAAAAGTGGAAAGTTTTCAATTGCCAGGATTTGTGTCTCCGGCCACGCCCACACACCTCGGCTAAAAACACCCACCTCCGCCTCCACCTCATCCTCAGCCTCCGGCACTTGTTTACGTACTTCGGCGCTCGCTGAGAGCGTATCAATCAACTGGGCCACGGGGCGTATGAACTGGGTCTGGAGGCCCAAGACAAAGGGCATCCCATCCACATCCCCCACCATTCCGTTCCGAATGCCATAACAGGCCCGACCAAATGTGTTGTTTTCCAAATTAAATTTACTTCGGCCTGAGGAATCTAATCAAAGTGCTAGGGCTGCCACCATGAACTATGGGTTCGATTGGAAAATAACGTTCCGATTTACGAGGGGTATGCAAATTTGCAAGTAGTTAAGGGACGGCGATTTCTAGTAAAAATCTACATTTTATCAAACTTTTAGAAAAGTTTAAGCTTCAAGTATTCACCATAGGAAAATGAAGTCTTTGAACAATGAAATAAATTGTTTTTCCGAGTAAAAGTTTTTAAGAAGCTGATGTAGAAAGACTATATCCTGTTTAATAAAACCTTTTTGTATTTTATCTGAAACCAATTAGGTTCTCAGATGTGATGTAAGAAGAAAGAAAAGCACCCTTAGTTTTTTAAACACATTTTGTGAGCGCACTGTTATCACTATAGGGTATCAGCTCGTCGCCCCTAAGTGCTCATCTGAAGCCCGAAAATGTTTCTCGGAGTGACTCACGACGGGCCGTGCTTTCTCAGCGGGTTCCCTGTGTGTGGGCGCCGTTTAAGCCGTGCCCTTGGCGGCCGCTCTCAATCATATCTGATCAAATCAAGTCAGCCGCCTCGACTTGCTCCTGGCGTCCTTATAAGGCCACAATACGTCCCCAGTTAGGTGTGGGCGGCGTCTCGATGACGCATGATTTTTCGGTAGGTGACTAGGAAGTGATGTGCCGAAGGATGTGGGCGTTGGGCGGATACTGATGCTGATTCTGATGGAGATGTGGGCTATAAATACGCCAACGATGCGATGGCTGTCTGGCATTTTTAGCACCCTGTCTCCACGCATTTAGCTAGGGGCATATTTTGCGGTTATTAAATTTATTAAGTTTCCCTGCTTGGCGGGGGAGCTGAGTGGGCTGGTGATGGATGATAGATGAAGCTGTTGGCAGATGTCCAACTAATTAAGAGAAGGCGAGAAACGGAGGGAGTCCTTTGCCTAAAAACCCCAAAAACCACTTCTTCGCAGTTAAAAAACTTTAACGAGCATTCAAAACGTAAAAGTGGCGTTAATCAACGCCCAATCTCATTTTTCGAAACTTTTCTAATTATAAATCTGTTCTCGTGTAATTTACAAGCGGGCCACCCCCAAACGAAACACTGAAACCGAAAAACAGAATTTCCAAACGTTTTTCACGCCTGACTTAATGTTTTTCTTTTTGTGCGCTTTTTCCCATTTTCCGCAAAAATAGGCCATAAGAATATGCGCCCTCGGCGAAAACGAGAGGCAGAATTCGACTTCCGTTGTGCAGCGGAAGTGAAATGTGAAATTTGAAATTTATTATTGCCAATGCAAAGAGACCCAAAGGAGAAACACAAAAAAACAGAAGGCTCGGGGTGAAGGGTCCAAACAATATTTATGCTATTAAACTGAAATCAATGTGCAATATCCGCTGGCGACTCAATAAATTTAGTTAGCCGAATTCAAGCTGATTGGCACGAAATCATTTTTGGGCTCGCAGACCAATTTTTTCGCCGTCACTTTTCCAATTTATTTCATTGCCTCTGATTTGTGTTTATCTCATTGCAGCTGCCAGATTGTTTGGAAACGCCATTTAGTCACAATATTACAGTCAATCTTACGTTCCAATCCAATCAAAATTAATGTTCCAAGGATAATTGAATTTTATAAAATTAAAAACATGTTTTATTACCATGAGTTTGTGGTTTACTGATGCCTTTAAGTTACTTTACTCCTAAATATATAAATATTTTTTCATATCTCTTTCAGCAAATATCAACGAATTATTTAGCAATAACATAAATCAGCTGCCAACCAAATTGCAACTCTGCCTCGCTAATCTCAAAGCTTGCTGCCTGCCTTTTACTTCTATCCCAACTTGTTCCGCTAAATCAGTCAAGCTGGCGTCGTTCAAGCAGAAAAATAACAATAATACTATAAGCAATTATAATAACAATATAATGTGGAGTAGTACTATATCGCCAACTAACTCTAAGAAACTATTGATCGGTAGCACACGCAGCGTTGATTATGTCGGTGATAGTGCGAGGACGGCAGCAGGCAATATCAAAACAGGAGCAGCAGCATCAGCAGCAGCAGGAGCCAAAGGATCAAAAGCCAAAGCCACCGCCATCGCAGCCACAGCCGCAGCAGCGAACACAACAAAGATCTCAATTGAAATGGAGCTTCATATACAGAATAAGTGCATTTCGGCATAGCGCATCACTCTGGAGGGTGGTGCGGAGCCGCCATGGCTGCAGGGCCCCCTTAAAGCCGCATTTTTGGGGGCTACTGGGGTCGGCAAAACAAGCATACTACAGGTTAGTACAAATTAAACGAAAGTTAATGGGGATCCAAAAAATGTTACAACTACTCTAACTGGCGATTAGAAAGAAAACGAAGTTAGCCAGTGACAGAGCTCCAAAATGCAGTCTAAAGTAATTTTTGGTATCGCTTTAAAAACAAATGCTAAAATTGTAGCCTGAAAATTGGTATGGCCCATTAGTGGCTATAAAACCAAATTAATTTTCTAAACATCTTATGGTTTTCTCTGAGTGTATACATATGAGGTGGTTTCTTATCTCTGGATTTCGGGGGGTAATTATTGCTCAAATTAAGATCTCACACCTGGCTGATAAGGTGTTTCACTGTAGCGTTTCCCAACGCCTCGGTGGCGCAGTTGGCAGCGCGTAAGTCTCATAATCTTAAGGTCGTGAGTTCGAGCCTCACCCGGGGCACAATTTTTTTATCGGTTCATGTATTTTTTTATTTTTTTTATTAAATCAAAGAATACTATTATGGGAATACTACTTAATAGACATTCAAGCAATTACATCCATTTGATTTAAAAAACCAGCATTTTAGTAGAGATTTGTTCACTGTTTTCCCTCAAGTCACTTTAACTTCTTTAAGATCAATTTAAGCCAAACCAATTAAGCCTAATACATTTATGTCAGTTTCAAAGGATCAAAGTGCATCTACCGAACATCGCGTCTTAATTGCTGTAATTAATTCGGAATCACCAATGATAATTTAAATGTTTGTTAAGTGCGTTTCAGTTTCGTAATGCAATTAAAATTAATGACTGTAATCATCGTTAGTCCAATCCGATCCATCCGTCATCAGCATAGAAAGGGTTCTTGTTGCCCAGTCGCATTAATTAATTTTTCAATAATAAATTGCATTTTCAATTAACACAATTCCTGATTAAAAGTTTGGCCAATACACACAGAGCGGTAAATCCAGGGGGATGATGGAACGTTGCAGAGATGCAAACGCTGCACTTTTCATGCCCCAACTTGGCTTTAAATTATTAATGGGCAACGGGCGACCCCGATGAAAGCTAAAAAGTTTAGTGGCAAACTTTTTAATAGACCAGTCCCATGGCAGCTGGCTCTCATCGCCGATGTTTGGCGCACCATCTACCTATAGGACCAGCTCCACGTACCCCTCCACCTACCCGGCCCCCTTTCGGGACCCACATCCCTCCCCGTCCTTCACACTCCCTTCCCAGACCTGCTAATTGCATTTGTGTGCGTGTGGGAGCGTCGTTAATTTGATTTGCGCTTCGCATCGCATCGTATCTTTTGTGGTTTATCTTTTGTAATTAGACAATGGCAAGCCACAGAGCTAGAATGCCTCATATGTGTTTAGCAACGGCCTTTGCGAGAGGGTATACTAACAATGTGGGTCAGTGTGGCACTGATGGTCTTTTGTCAACTACCCTACCAAATAGATTTATAGTGCGAGAACGTCCTACATCAAAATTACAAAAAAATTCAATTTAACAACATATAAAATTCATATCTGCTTCATGTTTCAGAGAACTCATCTTTCAAAGTAGTAATTTTCTTATCTGTCGATTAATTTGTGAAGCCTTTTTTGCCCTACCACTTATTTTACAAGTAAGCCCTGCCAGTTTGACGAACCTAGAGCAAACACGGCAACTAACAAACATGTATTTTTATAATAGTTAAAATACTCTGGATATAAAATCTGGCTTACATTTTACCTACACGGAGAAAATGATTTCGTTTTTTAGGGGAAAAATACAATTAGTATTAAGCAATTACTTTTTTAAATGTGTCAGCCCTTTTTTGGCACCTGAAAAGGAATTTTAAAAAATAGTAGTTTATGATTTTAATTACGGATAGTAAAGTAACTAACCTGTCGAAACTTAAAATTCACATTTTATTGGACAGTCGAAATTTAATAATTAGATTTCGGTTAATTTTGTAGTTTATTTTATTAATTATCAGTAAAAACAATCATCGGTTATATACAGAAAATATTTGTATGCTTTTCTTTTAATCGACAAACCACTAAAAAAATAAGTGCATTTCAATTAAAGAGTTGGTTATAAAGTTTGTTAAAGCAAACAAAATTGAGAAGTTTAATTGAATTGCACCAATAAACAATAAAGTTTTTCAATTGAATTCACACAAAGTAAAATAAATTAATTTCTGTACACCTTGCGAAAAGTGTTTACTCTTAGCTACAAAAACGCTTTCACTTTCAAATTGTTTTATTTTCCTTGTTAAAAAAAGAATAATGTATTGAGTATCGAATTTTAATGCATACAATTAAATGTAGGTAAACAAAGATCATAAAGGCAACCTGACATAGTATTAGGGTAACATAAAATATGACAATTTATAGGTTGAGCACCTGATTTTTTCGCGTAACCAAAAAGAGTATCAGACTCGGCGTGGAAAGCGCTTCATTTTCCGCCAACTGCCAACAGCCACGTCCCGCCTTTAACCTCTCGCTCTCGGCAAATTCAATTAACTGCAGTTGGCAGTTGCGAGTTGGCCGCTTTGCCATTTGCCTTCCCGCTGCGCTCTCCATTATTTTCCATACATTTGTTTGTGTGTGTTTTACAGCTGCGTTTAATTTCCACGAATGGGAATGTGTGTGCATTAGCTTTACACAGAGAAAAAAACCGTCTGAAACTAAGAAAAATATTCCTAAATAATCCTAATTTTACACAGAGAAAAAAAGGTTCAAATGTAAGAAAAATGTTCCTGAATTAACAACGTTGGTTCATAGGAATGGTTTAACGCCGATTGATCTTACTTTAGACACAATGTTCAATGCTCAAAATTTTTAAATTTTAGACTGTTTTTTATAGTTGAGTACCACTAGGCCAGCTAGCCAAATAATACGTACGGGAAAAAGCGAACCTTTTGAAAATAAAAATATTTGCAGCATATCATTTGATGGACTCGAACTCGGGCCTGTGCTATCTTTAGGTTATGCTTTAATTCAAAAATTTCAGAAGAAAACGTTGTTACATTAAGAATTTTGTTCTTAAATGAAGACTTGGTTTTTTCTTCAGTGTAGGACTGTTTTCCCATCAAACCGAAGCCCTCACCCTCTTCTGAACTCAGCTGTCCAACATCCGGCATTATCCTCCTTTCTCGTTTCCCGTTGGGCGCCTTTTATTGTATGTAATGCGAGATTTGTGCATTTTTATGGCATTTTAAGCACTGCAAAATCAATTACGTCCCGTCTAATGGCTGTTCGCGGTCAAGCTGGCCAAGGGAACCCGTTGACGAGTTGGGGAGATGTTAAGCTTGAGCAAAGAACATCCGACATTTTATTGCTGCGTAAATGTAATAGGCGTGTAAACGAAAAATGGGAAATCAAATCACATAATTGTTATAAAAGGATAAAATAAATTGAGGCATTCGGCTTTGTCAATTTTGCAGCTAAGGACAATCATTTCTCAATAAAAATAGCTTCTCTTTAACGAAGAGCTATTATTATTCGACCACGACCCGAAGAATATTATGTGCTTCCAAAAAATTGGAAAAATAATATAAATATAAGAAAACCACAAGAGCCCATTTATCTTTATTATCATTGTAAATTTTTCGATGAGTAGTGCTCATTTTTGACCTGCTTTTAATGTAGGGGAAAAAAGGAAAAAAAGTTATATTATAAACTTCGAATAGCCTTAGCGTTATTTCCTGATTTAATGTTATCCCATTCATCCGCTGGCTTAAATGCACGGCAAACATTTTCAAATAAACTGCGCTAATTCCAGCAGATAAATGCGAGAAATAAAACGCAGTGCATCATATCAATAAAGAGTACGCCATGAATATCTATTTGGGTGAATTTGGAAAAGCTGCTCGGATCCCCGGCGTGCTTACTTATGTGGCAGATAATGTGCCGCACTTTATGGGGCAGCAAGAAGCATAAAGAGGCGCAAAGCCGGCCACGAGAACGGCAACAACACGGTGGAGCAAGGACACCAAGCACGGAGCTCGAAACTGGGAAATGGGAAATGGAAACAGGACCTGGAGACCGCGGAGCAGACCATCAATGTCATTTCTTATTCAATTACCAGTTCAATAAAAATAAAACTCAATGATATGCGGCGTTGTGACATAAAAGCGATGCGATGTGAATCGATGTCATGCCAAGCGCTGCGATCTGACCCCTTTGCCACGCCCCCAGGCGACCTCCGCCCCCGTTTTTCCGGTGAAAGCGACTGTGGGTGCAGCGTATGATTTAAAAAAACAGTCTGCTCTAAAGTCATTGCTTCTTTTAGGCCAAGAGCGGTGACATTTTCGCTCTTCCCAACGCGGCCACTTCCGCTTCCGGTGGTTGGCCTTGTCGGTTCCTTTTTGGTGCCCCTAATTGAATATAGTGCGCATAAATTGCATCTGATTTCATTGCAGTGACAACAATGGGTAAGCTGATTGGCAGAATAGAATTTGCATTTTTATTAGACGAGCGGGGATCGCAAATGAAGCCCCAAATGATTTTCACTTGACTTTTTTATAAGCACTGTGAAAACAATTTTAAACTTTTATAATTTCGGAAAATTTAAAAAGTCTATAAATTTTCATAGGAAAATAGGATATTCTTTATCGGTTTTGTGTATTTTAAACCATTTAAAAAACTACATTTTACATTTTTTTAGGTGAGGATCTTAAAAATGTTAATTTATAGTAATAAGTGTGTGTTAGCTTTAATCTATAAAAAGGAAAGCTGGAGAATCCTTTTAAAATCTTGGTAGTTCCAATGCTGGCATTTTGTTTTTTTCCGGATACACATTTTACGATTAGACCGTTTCTTTCACTCTGTGCATACAATCAGGAAAATCGTGAACTGGCAATCTATTCGATGGCTTCCTGGAGCGACAAGGCATCACTTTAGAATGCAATCAGGCGTTAAATATCCTTAGAGCCTGTCACTCATTCAGCTCATGCATTGATACCCATTGCGAGTCCCACATCCAACCGGCCACAACCAAAATCTTCCCCAAGCCGTCCCCATTTCCCCTCTTTCATTATCATTTTTCTTTTTTCAAATTGTATTTTATATCTCCATCGGCCTTGGCTTTATTTTTAGGATGCCTCGGCATCCTTGGTCCCGGACCCCAGAGTAAAGTCCCAATAAGAAATTGAAGGCGACTCAGCTCAAAAGGCTGCGGGTTAATGGGGTCATTTCGACCACGGCGCAGAGTGACTTCCAAAAAGTCCCGCGTGTGCGTTATGAGCTTTGGATTAGAGTTATGGCTCCTTACTGAGGCTTAAAGGAGCTGTTGAAGCGGAGCATTAGGGATCTAAAAATTTATTAACAAATTAAAGTTAAAGTTGAGGATTATGTGAACCTGATTTAACAAATATATTACAGTTCTAGAAAAAGCAAGTGTTTAACCCAGTTGGGCTTTTTAAATCAATTCACCGTTTTATGCCAGTTGCAGAAAATGTACTAAGCCTATTTATACTGACATTAAACCCGAACCAAGTCATTTTTAATTTCATTTTCGTAAAGTCAATTCTACGCTCCGCTGCACATATTGCTCATATAACCATTACCAAGCGACTCGTGTGCTGTTTATTCCCCAGTTTTTAGTGCTTTTATGATTACATGACCGGAGAGAACGCAAAATCCAAAGCATACATTTAAGCGCTTACAATTTTAATAAGCTAAAAATGTCCATGAAATATGTGTGGCTGTTTTTGTGAGATTTAGCCGGCCATACGACCCCATGCAAAAGCTCAGAGCGCATATTTAAAATGTTTGCTCAACATAGAAAACAGAAAACCAAGAAGCGAGCACAGAGCAAAGGAAGCTGAAAAAATATTAGCTTGCTTTACTTTTGGACAGGGTTTTTATGGAGCTAAATGATTTGCCGATGGAAAATTCATTTTTATTTTCATTGGCCTCCCACGAGTCGCATGCGCAATATTTTACAATCATAATAATATTTAATTTTGGCAAACATGTAACTGACGGTGCTCTTTCCGGCTTATTTACAGCAATTTTTCTACCATGACTTTCCGAGGACTCATCAGACGACAACACATCGCAAGATTTATAAAAACTGTCTGGTCTGCGACACCTGCATACGTGAGCTGATGGTACTGGACGTTCCGCCCCAGGTGAGTTAGCACCTGCCACATGGCAGCCCCCGACCCGCAATAAATCCATCCCAGGGCCACAGCCCTTGCCACAATTTCTAACTTTTCCATAATTTAGTTAAAAGTTTTCCCACTGTCAGAGCGCGTCTGTAGTGAGGAATTTTGTGAAAATATGTACAAACTATTTTTATGCAATTTTCCAGTGAATTTCATGGTGCTGATATATTAGAAAAGTCTCCATCTCTGCGCCCGCTGGCTATAATAAATTGCTAAATAATTTAAATTGCCCCGCAGATCCACAGCCCTAGCCAGTTGCAATCTGCCGCGTCTTCGTCCAGCATAAATATTAACCTGAAGACACTTTAAGTCTTCTTGCGCTGTTTTCTTGTTACTGAGCCTGCTGTCGGTGCTGTCTAGACTTCAACTGGTACCTTCTGCATTTTCATTACGGGCTGAACAGTTTTCCTTCCATATTTTACATCGCACACCCTAGCAGAAGGTATGCTACTTTTTCAAAGATTTTTGTAAGCCTCCTCCTGTCGAAGATACAAATTAGGAAATAAACAGATATTAAGACCTATGGATTTTATCTATTACTTAGAGCTCCACTGTTTTTTTTTCTTCCTGTATCGCTTTACAAATTACCAATCTTATCAGTGACTAGTCAAGTTTGCTTTAACCTTGTAGGGTATAAGAACTTCAGCTTGCCGAAGTAAGCATTTTTTTTTAATAATCACCGCTCCAAAAGCGCCTTGAGCAACAGATTACAACAACCCAAAAGCGAGCAACCACAACACCAAATGGCGGTACTCCTGATGTTGCCTCGGGAAAACTTTCTCGTGGGTTAAATTTTTTCGTTATTTGGTATTTTTGCATAACACTTTAGGCTAGGAAAGAATGTTAAACGAATCGGCTGCACAGTTTAAAAATCTGAAAACTCTACTTAATTTGTACCAAATGGAACTTTAAACCTAGGAAGTCAAGTGCGACACTCACATTTATAAGGTGTAGGATGAAGACACTTTTGGAAAACGTAATTGGACAACTACCTTTTTAATGTTACTTATAAATTACGTTGCTGCAGTGAAATAACTATATAAATTGTATTTTTACTATAAAAATAGTAAGTTAACTACAATTAATGGTTTTGCCACATTCTACCCTTTCTTACAGTTGAAAAACTATTTTTTATACTAACCCTCACGTTTACGTATTACGTAAGAGTAACTATTTGAATGGTAGAATTGGCAATTCTATCTATTCTATATCAATCGTTTTTGTTGTGCGTATTGATAAAGATGAAAAACACACTGATTCTACACTGAGCGATTTGTTTGGCACCCCCGATGCTTACATTTTAGAAATCCGTCTTTAAAAAATTATTATTGAAAGCCAGTAAATGTTTAAGCAAGCCTCGAATTTTTCCCACGCTTTTGGCTTTATTATTTGCGCCTATAAAACTGGTGGCCTGAATACGTTCATAAATTCAGGTACACAGCGGTCAACTATACCGGTCGCTGAACGTGTAGTTGTACACTATCAAGTTTTTACTACAAATTGTCCCAAACATTAAGTTTGATCCTTGTTAATATTTTCATCCGTTTATCTTGTCAGTGCAGTTGTCGGAGTAAAAAACTCCAAGGCTATGAACTCCCAATTTCCCTGTCTATGACTTCCTTTTGGTTGGTCAAAGGACTTTGCAGTAGACCTCGGCCATTAGTGAGTAGTTTTACCAGACCACAAATCACAAACTGACACCAAAAATGTTGAAGGGAATTCCACAGCCACGGCCGGCACTGTCTTACATCTCACTACTTTTTGTCTGCTGGTCTGCCACGTTTAACTATCATAAAATATTTATGGAACACACTCTGAACAAGGCCAGTTGCTGTTTGGTTTTCCCCCTTGGCCTTTTGGAATATGCAAAGCTTGAGTTGGCAAGAAAAAAGAGGTTCTTCGAAAACGGGACACTTGCACAAAAAGCATTTCATATCCTCATACATATACGTATCTGTTTAAAGTGGTTAGTCAACGTAATAAAGTCACTCATTTAATAAAATTCGATCAAAATAGTTCAAGACGGAATACAATTTCCGAAATTTATTGTGTCGGGATATAACTAAGAACAATCTTAAGAGTTCAACAGTTATTCATGATACTCTAAACTTAAGCATGTTACCACTTAACTTTGCCACAAAAGAAACATAATAGTTTTTTCTATCTTGGTAACTGGGAAAAAAGTGTAACGTTACACAAACCAGGTTATAGTTCTTGTCTCTACCTCCAGCGGTTAAAGCAGATGCACCCTTTGTTCCATGGCTGAATAAATTGGGAGCAGCCGTTGATCTAGCGAATCGGGAACTGGGCCAAGTGTGTGCCGGGCTGACAAAGTCGCCAAAGGATATGGCTAGAGGACGATTCTGTGGCTTCGCCATGGACAACCAGGCCTGCGGCAACGGCACCAATAGCCAGCCCCGCAAATTCCCCCCGAATCGAAATGGCAAGCGACCCAAAAGAGTTGACAAGCAACAAAAAGCAGTTGGCAGTCGGGCAGTCAGCCAACCGCATCCATTGTCATATTAACTACGTGCCGAGCGACCCAAACCGACCCATTCCGCCCCCTTTTCGACAGTGCCACCTCTCGATGCTTTTCAACTTATTCATGTCCATTTTGGCGTGAATTTGTTTTCGAGTACAGCTTTTTCCCCCACCGCGTTTTATTATACTCTTTGTTGTTCATCCATTGTGCTGACCAAATGGCCGACTGCTGTCTAAAAGCGGGCCAACAGGGCTTTTCCAGGGGGCTGGGTGGGTTTTCCCCACAGGTTGGAAGCGCTGTCGCCTGTTTATTGTGGTAAATTTTTCATCGTCAAGTGCACTGCCTGGCAGTCATAACTCAAAGTCCACCTTAATGGTTTCCACTTGTACAAACAGCATTTATTTTCAAACAGATTTTCGCTCATATACACGAGGCCGGGGGGAAAAGCGGAAGCAGATGTTTCTTTGGTATGTGTGTGTGCGAACAGGAGGCCATTTAGTTGGTCATTGTCTTCTCAAAGTGGACGCCGCTGCTTAAAGCTACTTGAAGTGACAATCTGGGGACAGGACTCAATGAACCGGGCTAACATGCCTGTGGACTCCGGAATGAGTCGCCAACTCACTTCAAATGTATTACACTTGATAAATTATTTCGGAATGGTGTGATTTAATAAATATTATAATGTATACCACTGGTGGTTTTAATATTGTAACCAAAAATATGATTTTATAAGAAATTCAAGTAACCTTCTCCCTACTTATGGCTTATTGAAGTCTATATGTATTAAGTATCTACTTACTCTAGAGTAAGTAGTTTTAGGAAATGCGGAATATTTATATTAATTGGAGAGTAAAAGGTTATATTACATCCGTCGGAAAGTTAGTACTAGCTAATTTGATCTAGCCTTTCTGTATAAACACTGAGATCTCGGAAAGTACATAAGATTTAAGGTTTGGATTAACTATACATACATATACTAGGGTTTCCTACGCAGCAGTTTATGTATCGAAACGTTTAAATCTACACATTTTCAACATGGATAGTACGACTACAATACAATTGAATTTTATTATTGAAAATTTTAATAGAAAATTTTGCAGAAACTAAAGATAATTAATGAATCTGGCTGACCTATTTCTCCTGATTACAAAAACTCAGGCAAGTCGCCAGACAGTAGTCAAGACCTTAGCTCATTAGCTCAATACCTCCCAAATCCCTTATGTGTCGCATCCATCTCGGACCAAATCCAAGACGGCAACAATGCAGCAATTACAACAATTACAACCGGGCCAGAAGACATCGAGAATCTGGGCTAAGGAGCTGCTCGCATTTCAAGCCAGCTCGCAGCCCGTTAATTAACAAAGCAACAATAATCACAACAGAGCGGCGGATGGGAAGCGCAAATTAAATGAAATTTAATCAAAAACGTAAATCTAGCTAAGTTAGTGCCCGACGGGAGTGGCGTCGGCTGTCTGCCAGCCAGAATGACACAATACCCCGACAGAAACGGGCAGGGGCGGGGCCAAGAGTCGCGAAGGGATGAACCGAGGGACCGGAGAGCTGGAGCTGGAGAACTGACAAGTCGAAGGACCAGACGCCAAGGCGCCAAGGAATGCGGACCCTTGAGCTGTCCATCTGTACACGGGGTCAGGAATTGCGGGGAAGGAACTAAGGGTTGGAAACAGTGTTGCCAGCCAATGTGATTTAAAAGTAGCTAACCTACGATTTTAAATTCGCTAAAATCAGTTCCTTTCAAATGTATAACTGAATATCCAGAGAAATTCTTAAAAGCTTAGAATAATTCAAATAATTGTCTTTTGCTTTTTCGATAATGGTATCTTTACAAATGTTTTGCAATGCTTTTTTTCCAATTCCGGTCCACAAAGAATATTAACAAAATTTTGTTTAGTTCCTGACTGCACACACAACCACGTTTGGTCAGAAAAAAGCCAGATAGACATCACTGAATTTCCGCTGTTTGTTCCTCTGAAATGTCTCGACTCGTATTCTTGTCTAGGCGGCCTTTGACTCTTGTTTGTGCCTAAAATGCTGCGACGTAAATTTAATTATAACGTTTACTTACTGTCTAGCTGTGGGCAGCACACTTTCCATCTCCTTTCTGGTCTTCAGTGACGAGAGTGGGAAAACTGTGGCCACCTGCCTGCGGTGGAAATTGCCTGCTGATTTGCCTTTCGACGCCTCTGTGCTTAAAAAGATCAGCAACTGCTCAGGGATTGATTTATGGCACTGACGTCAAAAGAAATCTCTCAAAGCAATCCACAAACGATGTGCTTGGGAAGAATATTGTTGACAATTGTGTGACCTCGAATTTTATTCCATTGCAATTTCGCTTATTTCTTACTTTTGTAAAACTTAAAACTTATTTTATATTATTCTTCACTCATATGAAAGTTCTTAACGTATATATGGTTAATATATAAACGTAATCTTCTTAAAACATATCTTCAATTACCCTGTGTTAACATATCAAATTTACCTCGACAATTTCTTAGAGATCTTATTCGCTTTGAATCGCCAATTAAATGAGTGGTTACGAAAAGGTTCCTCAGAAAAAGGACCTCGAAGTTGGAAAAATTCGGATTTCTTTAACTTAGAATATATTTTACAGGCGAACAGATTTCTCGTTTGTTAGTCAGTCGAAAGATTTAAAAAGATCAACTCTTAATCTTTCCACCACCACACTCAAAATATTTTTAAAACTTTATCATAAAAATTTGTATAACAAGCGAAATTCGACTTACATATAAGTACATTCTTTATGCTAGGAATTTCATGAATTTTTCGCTAGCACCTGAAACTTATATAGCATTTGAGGTAATTAAATGAAGGGCCTTTACAATAAAAACACAATAAAAACACTTAAAGTGCCTTTAATATAGACTGTACTTAAGTGAAACTTTTCTTAACCAGAAACAGATTGTCCTACTCTCTAAAAATAAACAACGTAATTGAAGTGGCAGTTTAAAACTAATCTGTGATGGAATTTCCTCCGTGTACTATTCGTTGTTGGCTTGACAACGCATTTTACTGCACTAATTGAGCAACAATTATTTACCGACAGCGCCGCAGCCGCAGTAAATGCATCACTGTTGTCCATTATCCTGAACTGTAACTGCTACGGCTTACGGCCATTGTGGGAGCAGCTTTGTCCTTTGAATATCCACAGCGACAACGGTTTCAGCAGCATTTATTAAATGTGGAATGGAAAATTCAGCTCGCAGGAAGGCGGGTGAATAAATGAATCCTATTACCGATGCAGCAGGGAGCTCGAGCGAATAATGCGACTGCTGAGGGCAGTAAAGATTGCTGAAGCCGCAAGAGTGGTCAACTTAGTCCTAAACAAATAAGATGGGGCGAAGGCAAAAGTATATTTTCTGTACGGTCGGACTTGCTGGGGACAAATGTTCTGTGACTCAAACTAAAGTGGGTGAATTAATGAGTGAACTTTGGGTAAATTTGGCTCTGCAATACGAACTCTGAAAGACAAACTTTGTCTAAATTGTATCAGTTTACTTGTGATCTGAAATGTACAAAAAACCAGGGTTAAAAACATAAAAAATTGTATTTTTCAGTGAGAGAAAAATTGTTCTCATGCTCACACTTACTTGTGTTTCTAACACAACGTGTTAAAAAAAACGTGTTAATAACACAAATGAACTGTGTGTGTTATATCTTTATCTAACATATGTAGGCTTAAATTAGTTACACACAAGTTAATTATTTTTAACCTTTTTGACATTTAACATGTAAATAAGTCAAGTTTTTTACTGTGTGTGTTTTTTAACGAGCCCTGAACGAAATTAATACCCATTCTCACATTTAAAAATCTATATTTATCTAAAAACAGATCTA